TGTAACAAGTTACTCCTGATCCCATTATACTATCTTCCTAACTAACCTTGGGCACTTTGGCCCTGTGGTGGCGGCTTTCCACCCTTAACACATTTATGTAAATATAAGGAATTCTTGAACCTACTTCCCCAAAGGGAAGATTTCCTGGTCTCATCCCACCTCCACAAACAGAAGAGTCCTACATACTCTGCACAAGGCTCCAACCGAGAGGCTCATAGTCAGCACTCAGAGGAAGGTAGGATGGCTGGTAAAGAGATTTATTCATTAGTGGCTGTGTTTTCAGGAGGGAAGTAATAAAGAGATCCTGGAGGGTTTGTTGTGAGCAGTTAGAGCTTCAGAAGTTTGGTAAGGGGAAGCAAAGGTAAATCATTTCCTTTCTGTTGCTTACCTTTAATTTCATTTATTCTGTTTATTCTGTTTTTTTAAGAGTAAAATTTAGATATCTGATTTTAAACTGTTTTCAATAAGTGATAGGACTTTTTATAATTAATACATTTCCCACCCTAGAATGCTTTATGTGCAGTATAACTTCTGATGTGCTATATTTTCATTATGATTTATTTAAAAATATTTCGTGTGACTTTTTGACAAACAGATTTTTTAGAAAGGGTTTAATTTCCAAATATGTAGGATTATCCTTGGGACCTTTTTAATTTTTTTTTTTTTACTGTTTTATTTATTTCTGAGAGAGAGCGTGAGAAGGGGAGGGTCAGAGAGGGAGGGAGACACAGAATCCAAAACAGTCTCCAGGCTCTGAGCTGGCAGTCAGCACAGAGCCCAACATGGGGCTCAAACCCACGAACCCGTGAGATCATGACCTGAGCTGAAGTCGGACATTTAATCGACTGAGGCACCCAGGTGCCCCTTAGGTACCTTTTTAAAAAATGTTTATTTTTGAGAGAGAGAGAGTACAAGGGATAGGGTAGGGGCAGAAAGAGAAGACACAGAATCCAAAGCAGGCTACAGGCTCTGAGCTGTCAGCACAGAGCCCGCAATGGAGCTGGAACCCACAAACTGTGAGATCATGACCTGAGCCAAAGTTGGATGCTTAACTGAGACACCCAGGTGCCTCCTAGGTATCTTATTATAATATGCTTTTATGTAATGTAGTCACAGTTAGAGCATATATGTATATATGTATAATCCCTTAGAATGAATTGAATCTGCTTATGATCTAGTATATTGTCTTCTTTGGTGAATTTTCCATATGCAATTGAATTGTATTAAGCAGCTGTTTGGTTATACTGTTTTTAAACTTTCATTACAACTTCTTGTTCAACCCATCATTTATTTACTGTATCCAAAAGTATGGTGTTAGTTTTTCAGTGCTGTCATAAGTCACCATAGACTGGGTGGCTTAAAACAACAGGAAAGATTATCTCACAGTTCTGGAAACTAGAAGTCCAAAACCCAGATGTCAGCAGGACTAGTTCACCCTGGAGTTTCTATGAGAGAATCTGTTCCATGCTTCCTCCTAACTTCTGGTGGTTGCTGGAAATCTTTGGTGTTCCTTAACTTGAGGATGCATCTCTTTAATCTCTGTCTTTGCCGTTCTTTGTCTGTTTCTTCACATTGTCCAACCTTCTGCATGTTTGTGTCCAAATTTCCCTCTTTGTATAAGAAGACTAGTCATTGGATTAGGGTTTTTCCTAATCCAGAATAACCTCATTTTAACTTAATTAGCCCATACTCACAGGTATTTTGGCATTAGGACTTCAACATCTTTTGAGAGGGTGGAGCACAAATTAACTCATAACATATAGTTAGGATTTGTACTGTCTTCAAAAGAAATTCTAATTTATTTATTTTTAAAAACTTATTTATATATTTTGAAAAAGAGAGTAAGAGCATGTGAGCAGGGGAGGGGTAGAGAGAGAGAGAGTGAGAGAGAATCTCAAGCCAGCTCCATGCTATCAGCCTAGAGTGTGATGCAAGGCTCAATGCCATGAATGTGAGATTGTGACCTGAGCTAACTTCAAGAGTCAGACACTCAAACAACTGAGCCACAGAGGAGCCCCAAAACGAATTCTAATTTATTGGGCAGAGTCACAAATAAACATTTTTCCAAAGAAAACATCCACAGGGCCAACAGACACATGGAAAGCTGCTCAACATCATTCATCATTAGGGAAATACAAATCAAAACTACATTGAGATACCACCTCACACTGGTCAGAATGGCTAAAATTAACAACACAGGGAACAATAAATGTTGGCAAGGCTGTGGAGAAAGGGGAACTCTCTTGCACTGTTGGTGGGAATATAAACTAGTGCAGCCACTCTGAAAAAAAGCATGAGGTTCCTCAGAAAGTTAAAAATACAACTACCCTATAACCCTGGTATTGCACTACTAAGTATTCACACATAGGATATAAAAATACTGATTTGAAGGAACACCTACAGCCCAATGTTTATAGCAGTGCTATCAAAAGTAGCCAAATTATGGAAAGAGCCCAAATGTCCATCGACTGATGAAAGGATAAAGAAAATGTGATGTATATACACAATGGAATATTACTCAGCCATCAAAAAATGAAACCCTGTCATTTGCAACAACATGGATGCAGCTAGAGTATATTATGCTAAAAAAAAGAAGTCAAAGAAAGACAAATACTATATAATTTCACACATGTGTGGAATTTAAGAAACGAAACAAATGAACATGGGGAAGGGGGAAAAAAAGAGAGGGAAGCAACCCATAAGAAACTCTTAACTATAGAGAACAAACAGGTTTGCAGGGGAGGAGGTGGGAGGGCATTGGTCTACATGGGTAATTGGTATTAAGGATTGCACTTGTGTTGAGCACTGGCTGTTATATGTAAGTGATGAATTACTAAATTCTACTTCTGAAACCAGTATTACACTATAAGTTAGCTGAAGTCTAAATAAACATTTAAAAAAGAAAAAAAAATTAAAAATAATTCTAGGAGTGCCTGGGTGGCTCAGTCGGTTAAGTGACCGACTTTGGCTCAGGTCATGATCTCACAGTTTGTGGGTTCGAGCCCCACATCGGGCTCTGTGTTGACAGCTAACTCAGAGCCTGGAGCCTGTTTCAGTCTGTGTCTCCCTCTCTCTCTGACCCTCCCCTGCTCACACTGTCTATATCTCTCTCTCAAAAATAAATAAAACATTTAAAAATTAAATAATATTAATTCTAATTTAATCACAGTGCTTTAAAAATATATGCATGATACCAAAATTTGCAATTCTCTGTGAGTTGCTATAAAGTCTATAACATTGTCTTTTTGAAACATTTTATTCAAGAGAAAATAAAATATAAGATTCTTTTCCAATTGTTAATTGAATGTTACATATAAGATTAATAAATTTATTATGTTGAAATTTTATTTATTACTACAATTTTGTCTGTTTTATCTATCAAAAATTGAGAAAAATATATATTTTTTAAATTTTTTTAAGTTTATATACTTAGAGAAGGAGCAAGCAGGAGAGGGGCAGAGAGAGAGAGACAGAGAGAGAGACAGAGAGAGAGAAACCCAAGCAGGCACTGCACTGTCAGCACAGAGCCCGATGTGGGGCTTGAACTCCCCAACCATGAGATCATTATGAGCCAAAACCAAGAGTTGGACAGTTCACTGACTAAATCACCCAGGTGCTCCAAGAAAAGTATATTTAAAGTGCTCAATATGATGAAAATTGGCCAATTTCTAAGTGGTATTATCGCTCCTTCTACCATAATTTGTCTTTGCATAGGTATGTACACATACATATAAATATTACACACATTCACATACATGGATGTATATACTGTATTGCACTTTAGTGTATATTAATAGAATCATCATCATCATTTTCATCATTTTGTAGAAACAGGATTTAGTTTATATTTATGTACATGTCTAAAGATTATTTGTTTACAAGTATTTTTTCTCATTCTGGCTCTTCTCAGAGAATACTTTCAGCATTCCCTTTTTTTTTTTTTTTTTTGAGGTACATCATATAGAATTATACTAGTGAATTGTATTTTGCTTAAGTCAACATATATTGATTGTGCTTTTCGTTTATTGTATATCCTTCCTAATATGCTATCCTAATATGCTTCCTGATATGCTTTCTAATCACTGAAAAGACTGTGTTGACATTCACAAATATGTGTGGATTTCTTCTTTCAGCTATAACAGATTTTGGTTAATTTACTTTAAAGCTTTGTTATTTAGTGTATACATATTTAGGATCATAATGTACTGATGAATTGATACTTTTATCAAAATATGAAGTCTCTCTTTATCCTTAATAATTTTCTTTGTCTGAACTCTGTATTATCTGATCACATATAGCCCACCTGCCTTACTTTGTTTGTTAAAACAATATCCAAATGATGTATCATTTCAATCCTTTTCCTTTCAGTATATCATTGTATTTGAAATGAGTTTTTGGTAGATGAAATATAGTTGGATCTGTATTTAACCCCCACACTCATTGTAATTATTAATAGGCTAGGACTTAAATCTATCATTTTATTAGTTGCTTTCTGTTTTGTTTTTTTTCTCTAGTTCTTAGTTCTGTTTCCCTTTTATTGCCTCCATATGAATTACCTGAGGTTTTTTTGGTAGAGCTCCATCTTGATTTATTTATATCATTTTCTTAGTGTCTCTTTTGGCTATTATGACAGACAGATAAAACATCACAATCAACTGATAGTAACATTTTACTTCTGGGGCCCCTTGGTGGCTTAGTCAGTTAAGTGTCCCACTCTGGTTTCAGCTCAGGTCATGATCTCATGGCTCATGAGATCAAGCCCTATGTCGGGCTCTACACCAGCAGTGCAGAGCCTGCTTCAGATTCTCCCTTTCTCTTTGCCCCTCCTCTGCTCATGCTTTCTCTCTCTCTCTCTCTCTTTCTCTCTCTCTCTCTCTCTCTCTCTGTGTGTGTGTGTGTGTGTGTGTGTGTGTGTGTGTGTGTCTCTCAAACAAAACTAAACAGAACAAAACGAAAACATTTTACTACTTAGGATGAAGTGTCGAAACTTTATTTACATTCAGTCACCTTTATTATTCTCCTTTTTTTTTTTTTTTCTTGCACATAGGCTATGCTAATCTTCTCTGTGTCATTCTGGTTGTAGTATATGTGCTAACAAAGTGAACACTATTATTCTCACTTTTAAAATACAATTGCCTTGGAGCACCTGGGTGGCTCAGTTGGTTAAGCATCTGACTCTTGGTTTCGGCTCAGGTCATGGTCTCATGATATGAGATGGAGCCCTTCACTGGGCTCTGTGCTGACAGCATGGGTCCTGGCTGGGATTCTCTTTCTCTACCTCTCTCTCTGTCCCTCCCCTGCTTGCTCTCTCGCTCGCTGTCTCCCTACCTCTCATAAATAAATAAACTTAATTTTTTTTAAAAAACTAAAATAAGATATAATTGCCTTAAGTATTTCCTCTCTCTAGATCTGAGGATCTGAGGTATTCTTATTTTTTAATGAGTAGTCTTACCATTAAGGTTTGCTGAGAGCTGGGTGTATATGCATTTTCAGCAGAAATCTGGTTCCGTTTGACTCCACCTCAGCACTGACTCAAACTGCCTGGTTTCAAATGGGTAGAGTGGAATTTCTTTGGCCTCTCTAACACTTTCTCCCCAAAATGAGGCACCAATTATTTGACTCCCATGGCTGTAGGATAAGCTTGCCACTGGATCTAGTTGAAGGCAGTGGAGGGGGGAAGGCGGGGTAACTCACACTGCCATGTTGCTGTAGTGAGGGCAGGCAAGCTCCGCTTGTAGCGGGGCACAACACAAATGGCAGAAGTGAGATGCTGGCTAGCCCCAGCCCACTCTGCCTTGATGTAAAATATAAAATAATAATTCTTTGAAAAAACATTCAGAGACAGTGGTTGGGAACTATAGCTAGTCTAACAACTTTGACTTGACACCCAGAGAGTGGTGGATAAAAGGAAAATTGACAGTTGTTCTTCATCAAACTTCAGAACTGTTACCTGTAAAAGATCCTGTGAAGAGAATGAAAGCACAGGCTATGTACTAAGAGAAAACATTTGCAATCCATATACCCAGCAAAAGATTTCTGTCTAAAATATGTAACAGTATCTCAAAACTCAGTTAAAAAATCCAATTAGAGGGGCGCCTTGGTGGCTCAGTCGGTTAAGGGTCCGACTTCGGCTCAGGCCGTGATCTCATGGTTCATGGGTTCAAGCCCTGCGTTGGGCTTTGTGCTGACAGCTCAGACCCTGGATCCTGCTTCAGATTCTGTGTCTCCCTCTCTCTCTATCCATTCCCCACTTGTGCTCCATCTCTCTCTGTCTCAAAAATAAATTACTTAAAAAATCCAATTAGAAAATGATCAAAATACATGAATTACATTTCACCAAAAAGGATATACAAATGGCAAATAAGTGTGTGAAAAAAGGTATTCATTATGGAAATGAAAGTTAAAACCACAGTGAATTGTCACCGTATACCTATCTGTTGGAGGCCGCGCCGGCTCCGACAGGTCCAGGGGTCCCTGAAGGATGGACGGTGTCGGTGAAAGAGAATGAGAGAGCCCCGAGATTCTTTCTGATCACCAGGCAGGCATCTCTGTCCTGTCGGTTTTGGTATCTTTATTTTAAGGTTCAGCAACAAGATGAAGTCATAGAAAGGAATTTCTTACAATGGGAGACCTTTTGTGATATCAATTAACAGAATGTTCATAGTGAAAAACAGCATAACATACAAGTTAAATTGTATATAGATAAGCTAGGAGTTATTCTGTCTGGCCCTCAAGAAGATAAATGTTTCTGAATTGGTTTATTTGTGGAAACTAACATGGGGGTCCTAAATTGTCAGTCTTTGCACCTGGGTTTATGTTTTAGCTACTCTTATCTATTCTCATCCCAGTTGCCAGTGTAAGGGAGGGTGTTTGTGGAATGTAGGCCTTGAGGAAGGGACTGCTATGCTTTACCAATTAGCAAAGATACATGTAGTAACTTATGTTCTGCCCTGAAATAGGCTCTTTGTCTCAGGGCCAGGCTCAATTGTAACTCTTGTGTTCTTAACCCCTTAAGTCTTGGATCTGCAAGGCCCATAGGAAGAGCCTTTTGACAATCGCCCATAGAGCTTTCATCTAAAGTCTCTTTTGTAGAGGCAGGAATATGCTTTTCCTTATGAGGTATCTGTATTCAGAATATGGGTCTGATACGGAATATTGTGAGGCCTGGTCAATACCAGCAGGCTCATTTCCAGCATGAGCCAGTAGTAGCAGAAGGAGATACTAGTCTTCATTTCTCATGGCAGAAGCTGTGCAAACATTGCCATTTCCTTGCTGTGACTGCCATCCAGAGAGGCCGGTGTGGCTCCTCGCACCTATCAGAATGGATAAATTAAGAAACAGGAATAACACCAAATGCTGGTAAGGATGTAGGGAAACTAGCTGGATCACTCCTACGTTGCTTGTGAGAATGGAGAATGTAATATGAAGGCATAACAGTCAGTAACTTCACCAAATAAGAAAACAGAATTAGAAACATTCATATGATTATGTATCAAAGATCTTTCTCTTCAATGGTCTAGTAAATGAAGATGAAACAATGAATGAAACAGAGCAGTGAATGAAGTAGCCAAAATAAAAGGATAGTGTAATGTTATAAGACAAAAATAGAAAGTATCTTAAGAAGGAGCAGTCAACTTTAAAGTGGTCAGTGTTAGTGAGAAATACAATTGAGAAATCATGTGATGTGAATTGGTGAGGCTATCTTGTAAATTATTTATGTTAACAAAGAAGATTTTTGTTTCATGGATGAGGGTAGATGCAAGAATCATCAGAAGATGATAAAACTCAGAAAGCTGATTAACCAACCTTTTTTAAATGTATACCTGTTAAAGGTAAATTGTATAGTTAAGGATTGTAGTTAGAATAGAAAAGGCAGTAAAGGAATTTTTTCTTGTTATATTTGATTAATCACTTTTTGTTTCTCTTCTGTTTTAAATGGCTAGAGAGTCCTAATAAAATGTGTAGATGCTTTTGGGAAAGATCAGGGAGAGGAACTCAAGGACACAGAAAATGGAATATTTCTTTCATTTGAACATGAGGGAAAAGGAAAACATAAGGGAAGGGGAAAAGATTGGCTTTATAGATTTAGTCATGGGAAGCAAAATGATTCTTTCTCTCAATGGTTTATATTTTCTAAAAATAGATGGTGAGCTTATGTACAGAGTGAACATGAGGGAAAACAAAGAATCCATGTCTGTGCAGAGAGTGCAGGATCTCAGAAACACTAACTAACATGACTAGCGCTGTGCTGGCATTTTGAGTAGTTGAGAACAACCTTGAATTTATAGAGGCACTTACAGTTGTCAAGACCAGTGAAGTGTGTGAGATTTTACTCTACTTTCTCACTGACAAGGTAGCCTATTGCATTTTCCTAGATGACTGTAGAAAACCTGAGGAACCTGAGTTGTAGACAATAGACAGATTATTAATCATGGTACAACAGTGGTCAGAATATCTGTACTTGCGCCTGTTCTTATATGTTCCAATTCCACGGGGTGATGCCGAGGGGACCGCCTGATGCCTCCACATGCAGTGGGTTGAATTAAAGGGGAGGAACCATGTGTTCTGGGGAGATGATTCTTTTATAAAACATAATTGGCCTGACCTTTTCCCAGAGGGTGACTATCTTTGTTATACTAGACAACATACAAAACAGCTTGGTTCCTAGACACTGTTTCTTATTTTCCAACACTGTCTGCTCCTTAACTATCCTTGTAAAAATAGTTTGGAATAAAGAAGTCACTGTCTGCACTCGCAGCTGTGTAGACACATGACAGACATATGCTTGCAACTCAGCCAAATGAACTTTCAGTGCTTTTAGCTTATTCACTGCCCTATGTGGTCACAGCTCATTTAAATTTACATATAGAAATATGGATTCCTCTGTACAAATTGTAAAATTATAGGGGCACCTGGGTGGCTCAGTCAGTTAAGCATCCAACTTCAGCTCAGGTCATGAACTCACAATCTGAGTTTGAGCCCCGTGTCGGGCTCTAGGCTGACAGCTCAGAGCCTGAAACCTGCTTCAGATTCTGTGTCTCCCTCTCTCAGCACCTCCCCTGCTCATGCTCTGTCTCTCAAAAATAAATAAACGTTAAAAAAATTAAAACAGATTGTAAAATTATAGTTAAAAGTTTGGGTGTGTATATGGTATTTTTAAAATGTTTTCCCAATTGTTGCAATCATTTATTTCCTCCTACTTTTTCTGTGTTTTCTCATTCTATTGTCTTTGCTTGTGAACTTTTTGTCTTGGTTGTGTGGACTGTGTTGAACAATGCAATTTGAGCACATTTGACCATTGCCAAAATGAGTGTTTTTAAAAGATTTTTTTTCTGAGCATTCTTGCGTAGTCCTTTTCTGTAACTGCATGTCCCACATGATAAATTCCTTTCAGCATGGACTATGAAATGAAAATGAAAAGAGACATAAAGATTAACCTGGGTAAGCAAACTGAGGTCAAACTCAATCCAGTGGGAGCAAATTGATCCCCATGAGGCTGAGCTACCCCTTTCCAGACCCAAGCTCAGGACAGCCTGTCAGAGTCAGAGCACTTCCACTACACTCATGAGTCTTAAGAGATAAAACAACACAAAGCAAAACTGTTTTAAAGCACTTAGATAAGACTGTTGTACACTATCAATTATTGAAGGTTAATACAGGGCTCATAAACTCATTCGGAAAAAGTGGATAGAAACAAGCTACACTTCAGAATTTTAGTAAGCAATTTCAAATGTGTATTAGATGTGATTCTGTAATTATTGGGAAAATATTGACAGGAATTATGAAATCTAGGATTTAGTCTCTGCCTTCCTATTATCACACCATGAACTTGAGAAAGCCAGCTAATTTCTAAATTCAAGTTTTTCACATATAATTTAAGAGAGTTGGAAAACTAATCTTCATGTCATCCCATTGTAAAATTCTATGATTGACTTTACATTTCTCCTTATTGAAAAATAGCATATTAAATACAGACTTGATCAAGGACTCTGAAAGTTGGAGTATTTTACCTAATGACAAGATAACAAGGTAGTCTGTCACAGTTTTGTGGCTGGTGGCAGAATTCAAGAGATTTAGAATAGAAATGAAGAACAGTTCACGTCTCCT